AGAAACAGCCCACAGCTCTCCTCTGCTCCTTCCTTGCTGGGTAAGCCTAGATTTTGTTTGTTATGGATCCTTTCTGTGAGCGACTCAGTGCAAATCTAGATTTGTGTCCACCAATCACAGTAACAGCATTTTTCCTACCAGTCACTGACTTAGGAAGGGGCACTTGATCCAGTTCTGCTAATCAGACAGGAGACATGACTGCTGGGAGGTCCTACACGTATGGGAAGGAGGCCTCCGTCTCTGCCGGATGGCGTTGCATCTGCATGTGACTTCTGAAACTGGTGCCACCATGCAGCCAGTTTTAGAACCAGATGCTTCTTGGAAGAACAGGGTTTTTAGTGAAATCACTGAGCCATTTCATTACTTTCTTCCATTTCCCTACCTTCTTCCCTCCTCTCATCCCAAATGCTTCCTGACATTAAACTAGGGTTGATTAGGGTATGGGGTTCTTAGAAGCAGGCGGGGCTAAGCTGAGTTGGAAAGACCAACTACAGTGTGCAAAGGTAAAGGGGCCAAAGGATAGCACGTTTAGAGATTTCTAGGTAGTTACCAGGCTGGAACAGTGTGGCTGTGGGGAGAGAGTGTCAGTAGATAAGGTGAAAGTACACAGCAGCCAGACCACAACTTTATTCAAGTCCTCCTTTTAAAGGAGGAAGTGCTATTATAGATCATGTTGTTGTTGTTATGTGCCGTCGAGTCAGCCCCGACTCATAGTGACCATATGCAGCAGTTTAGAGATGAAGGCCTAAGTCTGGAGGCAAAGAAAAAGTTTAAAAGGCAGTAAAGTATCAATCCCTGTAAGAAATAATGATATGAGTGGCATAAGGATGGAAAGGAGGTGTACTGGCGTTGTATAACCCTTAATGATTGTGGTAGTTAAGGTTGTGTGTCAACTTGGCTGGGCCTGGTTGAGTGGCTGGGCAGCTGGATGTAGTTATTCCTCATGGTGAGACTGGTAATCAACTCCATGGTGAAATCTACTGGAGCAGCTAAATAGCTGCTTCAGAGGTGTGGGCTACTTTCAGGATATAAGCAGCAGCTTTGGGGAAGGTCTCCAGCTGATGGCCCGCTTGTACCCTGAATGTGGCCAAGTTGTTCAGCAGCCTGCCACCTTGCCTTGCTGATCTTGGGACTTTTAATGGACTTGAACTAATGGCCGGCCATGTGGTTTGGTAATATCAGGACTGTGCCTTTTCACTTGTTGACCTTGGGTTTGTCAGCCTCAGCAGCCAGCAGCTGGCAGAGTAGATGCCTCTAGCTTCAGTAGGTTGGGAGCAAGAGGCAGAGCTGAAGCCCAAGGTCAAGGGGCTTTCACCCAGCCCCTAGAGCCTGACACCTGGAACTCAGACTTTCAATCTCCCAAACTGTAAGAGACCAAACCCTTGCTTGTTAAAGCCATCCCATCTGTGGTATGTTCCTGTCAGAGCGGCACTAAGTAACTAAAACAACGATCTTGCTTGTTTCAACATTTATAAGAAGTGGTGAAACTGTGCTACATATATTGCTTGATGGATACACCTGTACGTAGAAGTAGAAACTGCGTGGACAAATGATGAACACCAAATTCAGGACAGCAGCCACCTCAGGAGAGGGAGGCAGGGAATGAAATCTGAGAGGGTTACATGGCTTATCTTATACTCTTGATTAAAAGAAAAAAACTGAGGGTGGGTGGTTTTGAAGAAAGGAAGGCAAAATGTTAGAATTAGGTGGGGTATTATTATCTAGACTCCTATCTATACCTAACATCACAAAATTTAAAAGTTACTTTAAAAAAAAAGGATACTTTCAGGGACAAAAGAAATGTTCTATAACAGTTTCTCAAATTACTTAAAATGTTGCAAGGAACTCTGTATGTCCAAACAGTCAATTTAAGAAGATGCATCATTTAC